TTGCTGTATCAACTGGGCTGAGTTTTACAGGGCCTGGCTTAGCTTACGGGAAGTTAGATGATGAACTCCTCCACCTCTTCCTTTAATTTACACAAATAATTCCCCAGATGTCTGTTTTGCTGCAGTATTTCCAACCTGTGAATGAAGAGCACTACTTGAAAATCCACCACCTTGCTGTCGCCCCAAGAATCACGAATGCCAATTACAGAGCAAAGTTTCAAAATGTGAATATGTTATTTTTAATAAGTGAGTCCAAGTGCAGTGTTCCTGAATGATAACACAGATATGTTGGGCCAAACAGAATAAGTTAAAAATAGCTTGGTTTAGTTTTTAGTGATAATATCAAAAGGTTCACAAATGCTGACAGGAAAAAAAATAGCTCTGACTGGTTTCTTTCTTCTTTTTTGTGCAAGAAAAAAATGTTTATACAAGAACATCAGTCTTGACAATTGACTAACACATAGAAGGGATTGTCATTAAGATACACTCGACTGTCAAAATTGAGCTCTGAAAGAGAAAATCGCTGGCGATGACAATGATGGCTTCCTTTCTCTCTAATATAAACATACCAGCCTGATCACTTTTTCCCCTCAGGGTAAAGCCATTGTTCCAGTTTGAAAGCTCCCTGTGGATGCTGGGTATTTTTTCCCTCTCTTCTCATTTATTTGGCTGTATCCAGGTGATGTGCCAAACTGTCACATCAAGCACAGACAGACTTATTTATTCACAGCAAAGGTCAAAAGCATCACAGCAGGAGGAATGGGTGGGTGTTTGGATGTACGTGTCTAAAAGTATTAATACCCCTTGATCTTTGTCACATTATAGCACATTAAACCATAAAATTTGATAGATTTTGATGTGATAGATGAAGATAAAATAATACAGTTTTATTCAGCCCCCTTTAATCTGATACCCTGAAATACAATCCTGTATGGCTAATAGCCTTCAGGAGTCATGCAATTAGAAAATTACTCATAAGTAATTCAATCTCAGTATAAGTTCAGGAGAAAAAGTTTGTTGATGGGACAATTAATAGTAGTACACTCCATAAAACTAGGCTTTATAAAAGACCGGCAAAAACACTACATTGGGGACAGATCTAATATGTGAACGCTGATATTTGGTCAGGTGAGACTAAAATCTTACTTTCACAAAAATTAAAATACAAAATGTTACTATATGCATGGCAGAAAACCCCACATCCATAGTGAAACATGGTGGGTCCTTCATGCAGTGAGGATGTTTTTCTTCAGCAGGGAAAGGGAAACTGATCAGAGTTTATGGGACTTAATACAGGACAATCCTGAATCAAAAATGTTAGAAAACTTAAGCAGAGACTGGGGTTAGACTCAAGTCAAATTAGGAATCTGTGGCAAGAGTTTCACAGAACCGCTCCATAAAATCTGATGTAGCTGTTTCACAAAGGAAAATTGACAAGGATGCAGATTATAACATCTGTAACTGCAGAAAAAAGATCACTCTTATTTCATTTTGATCTTTATTTAGACTTTCCCAAAATTTCTAAAATTGGAATAAATTTCATTAAATAATTTCTGGTGGTCTACAACATAAAATCCAAACACAATATATGATAGAGAAATTAAAGAGGTATCAAAACTTTTGAACTGCAAACTGATGAGAAAGGATGTGTCCAGGCCATGTGAATGTTCCATTTTTACTCTATTGAACGCCTCGTTGTTAATTAACTAAAGTACATCACAAAAAATACACTCTCACGAGACAATCTGTTATACTTGTTTGCCACAAGGGGCCGCCAAAGAGCAAAAATGACGAGAGGGTTTCCTCAGTAATCTTGGAAAATGTTTTATATCTAATTATTTAGGAAATGCATTTTAATCTCACCCTAGATGCAACATTCATCACTTGTTACATTACAAAGACATATCCCAGAAGAAGATTTATGCAATACAATTGGAGCATATAAACATCTGTAACTGTGGAGTAAGTTTTTTTATCCTACCCTAGGTATACAGCTGTCTCCAAATTCAACTATTGCTTTGGGTCGTGAGAAGAAAAGAGGGCGGAAATGTACATGCCTGCAGAGACATGACCTTACATTTCTTTCCACTAGAGATGGAGTGGGAAAATCTTGTCCTCAATTATAAGTCCTACAGGTAAACCCTGCTGGGGCAAAATATTTCCTTCACTCTAAAAACCTCCTGCTACTCTAAAAAACAACTGAGGTAACTTTAAAATAAAATACATCTATGTTTTCTGAGGTGTAATAGGGCAAGCTTCATGAGTGGAGTGTCAGTGTGACAGTAGTCACACTGACAACACTGAGTGTGGTTTAAAGAACAGAGTAGGATGAGGTTGCATAATCAGTACCTGGGATTCATGGAAAACAGAGTCAAGTTTAAGAACCGTTCGCTGACACCTCCAAGATGGGAGGAGAATTCGCTTGGCAGCAAAATGAGTGTCTGAATCAAATGGAAATGTGCAGTTTAATTGATACTAGTTGCTACAGGCAGTTTGAACAGAAAAAGTGAGGCACTGAAAGAATATCAGCCTAATTGCCTTTCTGCACAATTCCGGTTGATTCTAATCTTCCTTCAGTTCTCCGTCTGGGTTTTCTCCGGTTGACTAGGATTTTCTCTGGTATAATTTCAACTGAGCCGATCAACGAACAGAAGAAGTTGTGAATGATGACTTTGATTTTTGCGCTGTTTTAGAATTGTAGTCTGCTGGCAGTTTCATGAACATTCAGTCTGTGTTGACCACACTTCCAATTACTGAATGAACATCAAGAGCCATTTTGTTTAGCTCAGCCCTTCCCTCTTCACAGTGGAAGATGTTAATGACACAGGCAATGGGACTGGTGCATTGCATTGCATTGCAGTATGTTATGGCCAAACACAAGCAACTGGATAAAATTTAAGACTTCATCAGAGTCAATGCCTCCAGGAAGCAATCATTTCGCAATAGCCAAGAGTTCTGACCTTCTGTACAAAGCAAAACGTAGAACATGGGGCTGTTTTTACCACTTCATAAATCTTCACCTTTCCATACTTCCAAATTTACAAAATATGCAAATTATGTTTTGCTTGAGGTAAAACCCTTCTGAGTAAAGCAAATCCAGAAATACAGATGAAAGAAACAAAACCCTACACAAACTGTTGGCTCTGTATGATCACACACACACAAGCCAGACGTGATCTTCAGATCCCAAACAAATGACACTGGTTCTCCTCCAAACACATGAACACACTGGACCCTGTCATGTTCTGCAGGTGGACTCGTCTCGATGTAAGAACAGACTGCCCTCGCTGTCCCGTCCCATATCATGTTACAACTGGATAAAAGTAAAGGCCAGTATTTCCCTAATGGGCCGGTCTTATGCTGGGCTGCTGTGAGCTGGGCACTGATACCTGCATTCTCACATGTACGACACACCTGCTTTGAGATCCGGTCTAGAAGAAAATTTAGCCAATGAATACATTTTAAGGCAAATAATGTGAGTCTGAACACTTTCTGGTAAATATCTGTCTATTACATGCAGGAACATTGGTACAACCAGCATTCCCACTATTCTTTGATAATGTGTATGTGCGTTCAAGTTCTGGTGTGTGCCAATACCTCCAGGCTGCTTCAGTCAAACCCTGGACTGGAATTCAAATCAGCCACAGCAGGGGGATTTCCACGTGCCTCACAGTCGTCCTGCCTGGAATATAAAGTCGTGCGTCATGCCATGGATGCATCCGCTCGCTCCGTTGTGGCCAGGGGGCAAAAAAAAAAAAAAAGCTTTCAGCTGAGAGTGAAGTAATTGTTGACTCAGAGTTCAGGTAATATATAAATTTAACTCATAACAGGTTCTGGTTAACACCTGGACTTTAGTGCCTTCTACTGGTGACAAGGATGGAAAGTGAAAAAATATGGTCTTGCAGAAAAAGATAACTTCACTTCATGAATGTTTTAAATCACTAAATTTCAGGTTTTAATGACTTAACATCATCAAAACCATAAAAAAAGGACTTTGGCTCTATTTTGAGATTTTCATCATCTTGCTAATGACATTTTGAAAGCCTTTTGTTGGAATTGAAGGAAGTCAGGGGACATTTTTATTTAAATTAAAATGTCTATTTTTCCCTTCTTTTCTCACAGGGACAGTACATATTAACTGCAAGGTCAATAACTCAGGAAAACAACCTTATCCATTTTCGAGTAACAAGCTAACCTGATATTTTTCGAGAACAAAATGACCTTTGTCGCTTGTAGCTTTGATAACCGTCGTTCACTGAATCCGTCCTGAAAGGTGCCGAAGCCTCCAAATGTATTGAACACATTTAATTTCTGTCTTGGGCATTTTTAAGTATTATTTAACTGTTCTAATGTTTGAGCCACAATGAAAGCAGCTCTTTCATTGTGAGCTGTTTTCAGCTCACAATGAAAGCATATTTCTGTCAATATTGCTAGAGATAGCCAGACAGCTTTTTTTCACTCTGTCTCTGAACAGATGGTGCAAGTCACCCTAAAAGAATGAGAAAACTACATATCGAGTACATGCTCATACTCAGCAATAAATTAAATATGCAAAGTAGAAGATAAATTATCCTAGCTCTGCAAAATATCTGTTTCCTAATGTTTTGAGATATTTAAAGTGTCTAGAAAAGGTTTTAAAACAAATTTTCCCCGAGTTTAATGAAAGTTTAATACCTGCTTAAGGGTTGTCAATTTTCAAAAGTCGCTTTGACAAATCAGTCTCACTGAAATGCATAGTCTAATTTATTGGATACTACGGAGTTTTGAACTAAATACTGACTGTCACATTTATTTTCTAAGAGAACTATGTTAAAAATAATAAATATGTGCCAGATGAAAAAGGATGAAATGACCAAATACAGATATATATTCCAAAATATTTTTCTTCAATCATTTCATAACTTGCTGCGAAAAATCAAAACACATAAAACATAGCTCTGTTTAAACAAAAAAGCAGCAAATTGTACTTTTTGGTCAAATTTATAACAGTAACACTCAAGTATTGAGAAAAACCTCTGTGTTTATTTGAACATATTCCAGCATCACTCAAAAATAATCATAATCATAAAAATCAAAACGTGACAGATTAGAGGTGAAAAGGACAGCCAAAAAAAAAAAAAGAAGAGCTTACACTAAACACTTTCAAATGAAACTGCAACATAACTTGAAATAAAGAACACTATCAAGATTTATGAATCTTTTTGGAAAGCTTTGGGGAAAATAGGAGAACAAAACTGTTCAGCTGCCAAATATGCAAATAAAAGTAAGAGATTTATGTACAGAAAAGATTTGATGAGCTTAATTAAAAACAGTAATACGAGTTTTCCAACTAAGCACAAGGAAACATCTGATCCTGGCTTTGGGTAAGTTATCAAAGTCATGTAAATGACACTGACCAGTTGAAAACATCACTAACTACAAAATATTCAACTGAAACCAAAACCTTTCACAGACATTTGAATTATACAAGATCACAGAATTATTATTACACTGGCATATTTGACAGGAGAATATTCTGGATTTATACTGCCTCAATATATCTTCATAAAATTATCTAAAAAATTTTGCTTATTCTGATATCCATTAAACACTGGCTGAACTTCTGGTTACTGCCTTGGGTAGCATATTTTTTATTTTTTTTGCAATAAATGATAATCAACCAAAACAATTGTTTTGACATGTATTCAGGATTAATATTAAAGTACAAAAAATTATGAAGGATAAACAAAGAAATGTCAAATTGACTTCTGCTGAAAACATCTTGAAACAAGCTTCTCAACTGTTTATTAGATATGAGCTGCACACATTACTGCAGATCTACAGATTTTATAAGTTCTGGCATTACTCATTTTTCACATTACAGTTTTTGATCGTTTTGAGTATGGATCAAATGATAATCCTTTGGGTTAGTAGAGAGATCATTTAAAAAGCAGTGGACTTTGCTTTAGCTAGATGGATACATTTAAAAAGTAAAACTACTACAATATGTTTGTAAGATCTAAAAACATATTCCTCGATAAAATCAAATAAGCATGATAAAAAACAAAAGACATGAGCTGTCAGTGAACAATTGATAGAAAATGTCTTTAGCATGAATGAAAACTACTCATTCACAAAAATAAGACTCAGAGATGTCGCTCTGGCTGCAAATGAAGCATTTAAAAGGCACAATGTGCAATTTTTCCATTTGTATCATTTACTAAGGAAGGACACATGGTGTCAGAGATCCAAACCAAGCTGTTCTGGACCTGCTGATTGCTCTAGCACTGTATGCTGCACTAATTTACTGCGTATTTGACGTAGTGAGTCCTGAAATGAATGAAATTAATTAGTTGTTGCCTTTATGTTCTCTAAACATCATCTTTGAAATTAGATTATGCTTTACATAATTCATCCCCGGGGCAGGTGGGATTTGTTGCCTGTTAAATGTTAGAAACGTACGTTTTTCATGATGAGATGCTCAACCAAATCCACTTTGCATCTCGATAGGAGCTCTGGATCAGCTTACCTATCAAAAGATTTCAGCAAAATGTCAACCAACAAATGAATGCATGAACAAACATGGTATGTGCTTTGCAACCCAAAAAAAAGAACATAATTGTTTATCTTTGCAGCAACCTTAACTAAATATCTGCAATCCTCATGACTGTAGTCTTTATCTGTGTTAAGCAGGAAACATTGCAGACTGTGCCTTTAGAAAAGCCTAGAAATTCTTCCTGATAAAAGCTCGTTACTTCTTCTCAGTCTTCAGTGTTTGCAGAAAACTCCAGAGATCCTTGACCACCTGAGGAAGGTGATGTGGGAAGCAAAGAAAAGAATTAGAAAGCATTCAAATGAAGTGCTAAACAGCACGAGGCACATGACCCACTTTGACTGCAACATGATTTTTGTGCGTCCTGCCTGTGGGAACGCCGTGCTTGGATGGGGCTGCAGGGGAACGACGAGGGGTTGGGTGGGGGCAGCACTACATACCAGAGTATATGACTAGGTGCTCCAGGTCTGACAGATCTCAGCCTTGGCTGATGAAACCAAAGCACTTCCACAGATGTTTCCACACACTGGGAACAACAAGCTCTCCCAGACCCAACTCCACCCCCACTTTCTGCCTCGTCCACCCAGCTCTCTGCCGCTCAAAGAGCGTCCACCTGCTCCCAGAACTAGACTTTTCCCTTTTTAACACAGCAACTCAGAACAAACGAGCGTTTACGCAGTCTGTTTGGAGTGACTGGTATCTAAGACAGAGGTTCCCCGACCCACCCAACACAACCAAAGAGCCAGTCTAAAGATCAAAAGTTTCAGAGACTCAACATTCGTGTCCAAATGAACTTTTATTGTGCTTTTTATTGAAAATGAAGGGGAAAAAAACAGGAAAAACTCTATAAAAACCAAACCAGATGATGTGGTTTAACAATGCATTCCTTACACAAATGCAGTCTCTTAACAAACAAAATCTTATTTTTTTAAAATCAAACATCAAATTCTTAACTTGTTTAAGAGGTTTGGATTAACATCTAACAACCTGCTACATCCTGAGTGTAAGGAGGATTTTTGTTGCTGCTTCAGAAATAATTTTGTGATTTTAACATACCAACTTGTTTGGACTGTTGCATGTAGAATGAGTAATTGTGGTTTGAAGGGATATGTTACTACTGAGCACCATGTATCTGTCAGCACCTTGTAAAAATAAAAACGGGAGCTTTCACCAGGTCCTCACAAACATCACACATCTCATTCCTGGACAATAAGCTCCAGGTGGTCAAACAATTTTATTGTGAAAGGAGAAATACTACTGAATAGAGATTTTTTTCAGAATAGTCACACAAATGCATGAGCCTGAACAAGGTTGGTGATCTAATATTTTCAGACCCTTGTGAAAAGCTTCAGAGTCTGATCTTGGTAGAACAACCTCTGATAGGAAGTGTTTTGGAGTTCCCATCTACCAGGTTTTCCATGTAGTGACATTTTTCTATTCTGCAAAATAACTCCAGCTCAGTCAGAATGGATGGAGAGCAAATCTTGCCACAAATTCTCAATTGGATTTAGCTCTGGACTTTGACTGGGTCATTCTTCTTCCCTTCAGGAATACCACAATGAATAGTCCATCTCATAATAGTCCTTCCCTCTGCATCTTCTACCCTCACACCAGCGAACTTCATCTTCTTTCTGTCTTAAGTCTCCTTGATGGTTCTCTCACTTTCCTGTCCTGTGTCTCCGACCCCAGCGTCCTGGTACCTATTATATAATCTGAACATATCCAAACTACTGCTGCAGGTAAGGATTATTTCAGTAACCAAGTTTTGTATTGATTATTCTGATTATTCTGTGATAGTATTTAAAAAATAGCACATTCTGCACATTTTTCTTTTGACCACTTGAGCTTCTTTTATGCAATATTAGAAATCCAAAAGGAAAATGCAAATACTCAAAAAATCCTGTGATTAATTGGTTAAACTAAAAAATAATCAACATATCTATTCTAGTCTGTATTGATGTTAAGCCTGTTGATGTCAGAAGTATTTTTTTCTTAGCTATGAATGATCAAGTGCTTACTAGAAGAATACAACTGTTTCGCATTTTAGGCAATAAAATATAAATTTTCTTATTTAAGAAACGATTTGAATTGTTTATTTGTATTTTTTATGTGTTTCTAATGTATAAAATGGTTAAATGAAAAATCTGCAGAATGAGTTGCACTGTGCATCTCATGTTGGACTGCCACACAATACCCACAAAACAATAAATTGACATTTGTGGTTATAATGCATCAAAATATGAAAAGGTTTGTGGGGTGAAGACGACTTTGCAAGGCAACTTAAATGATGTTGCAGTGTAGCTTTACAGTCTGTCACTGAGTGTGTTGAGAGATTAATTCAAGTTAATGTACTGGGAATTGTTTTGTTCATCTGAAATGTCACTTTAATAAAGATAAAAGTTTCGTATTTGTTCAAAGGCTTTGAATGGTACCTTACACACACCACCAGTCCCTTCATTGGGGCTGCAGAAGTCTAACCGCAGTAAATCACTGCAGTTAGACTCTTGACAGGTGTACTCCCTTCTGTCTCATGAGAGCTCACACAAACATGAAGCTATGCCCAGAAGAACTCACTGAATTAGAGAGACTTTGATGTTGTTGAACGATGTGAGGATTGATAACTTATTTCTGGGGATCTAATAAGGTTAAAAAGCTTTTGAGAGTAAAACAAGTTTTGTCTAATGTGCTCATTCCAGAGATACACAACAGTTTTTGTTTTTAATCAGACAGAAAAATGTATCAACAGTAATGCTTCAGAAAATGAATATTAACTGTTGGTCTGATGTCAGAAACAAAAATACTAATTCTAATTAAAATGAGTCTCAAACTCTGGGCAATAAGGGAGCTCAAATCTACTTATATCCTTTACTTACTTTCTTGTCAGTGACTTTGTAGGACGTCCTCACAAAATTCTCAAACTTCTGCTCCGTCTTCGGGAGTGGTTTTCCCTAAAGAAGAATTTAGTTAAGTCATCACTTAAAAAGTCAAAAAGAGTGATAATTTCCAAAAAAAAAAAAAAATGGAAACACGGCCTTACCTCCTTGGCTGCTGATGATAACTTGTTCTTGATGTCAGGCAGAGTAAATGTCTTAGGCGGCCCTGCTTGTGATTTGTGTTTTCCAGGAGTCTGGAAAAAAACAAACAAGAAAAAAACATTGCAGTTAGATAACAAACTGGCTAAGTTTTTCCTGGATCAGCTGTTCAAATTCAAATGTTGTTTTTATGTAAACAAACAGCCTCTTCTTTGATGCACTTAGTTGCAATCTTACTAAAACTGAGATAAAGTTGTGTGTGTAATACTCTTTAGTTTCAGCTTTACTAACCAGGGAGAACATAAAGAAGTGATATTAACATATAAAGTGAATAAAGTGGCAAGACAAAGGGAGAGAAAGTTGATGCCAAATCTTTCAAAATTGAGACAGCAACTAGCTAAAGTGTGCCTGCGCATTTTTCTGCCACAATGAGCCACATAATGTCATAAGGTTAAAAACAAAACTCCAATATTTAACATGCATATTATGTTAATTACATAGTTAATGAAAATACACCTTATTTATATGTAATAATTTCTCTGTTTGGATGGCAACAGTAGTGCCCTGGTCTGTGCACAAGCTAAATAAGCGCGACTGATACAGACTGCAGCGTTTTCACCATTATCTAGACTTCCAAGTAAGGGCTGCATACCATATTATCATACAATCAGTTTGCTCATAAAGCTGCATTTGCTGGTTATTTGTAATGGTCTTGAATACAAATATTTTTCAGCTAAATTTAAATGTGACCTTTCTTGAACAGGGTAGGATAGGTCTATGAGATGTACACAACATGTTCATTACATTGTTTTGCAACAAATAATTCTGACGTTACAAGATTTCGAGCTACTTTCAGTTTGAGTTGTTTTAAGTCCTCTTGTCACTTTAACTGCTGCTGGCCTCGCCCTCCCAACTCAATGTTTGTACTCGCCCAGGAAAATGGCTGAAAATCTTTGAAAAGCAGGCCAAAGGTCTGCTAGGTAATGGCTCAGTGCTGTGACTTAACAATCAGAAGGTTTTGGAAATGGCTCATTTTCCAGACACCGCAAAACATCCATCCATCCATCCATCCATCCATCCATCCATCCATCCATTTTCTTAGACCACGTATTGAATAAAAATTTGATTAATGAAAACATAAAAAAATCTTCAACACTTAAGTGCTCCAGGAAATTCATTTAAAATTTATAGTTGACAACTCATTTTAATTAGCTGTGTGGATATGTATGGAATAATGTAGGTGTCTAAGCTAATCGTTTAACATTTAGTTAATCAGAACAATATCAACGTTGCTTTTTGCTGCGTCTGACATGTTTTCAACAATCACTTTTTCTGACCAATAAGATAGTTTGTCCAAGAGCCTCCTTGCGACCTGATTAGTCTGGGTCTGTTTTTATAGGCTTGGCGTGGGTTTGCAGCTGGGAAACGATAAAAGCATTAAAAAGGACAACACATTCTGGCCTAACTACATGCTCTTTTTTTATAATTTTACATCAGGTAACAATTAAGTTTGTATTAGGTTGCAAGCAGGAGGCTCACTTTGTTGAAGGAAAATGTAACTTAGATAAAACTAAAATATGGATTTACAGCTCATGTCAAGTCACTTATTCCTGTTCAACTGACTAAAAGCCCAGCAGCTATTCTTTATCTTTTCAGCGACATTAAAAGTGCCTCTTCCAAACTTGATGACTCCCCTGTGTTTGGGAGGATGAGAGCAGACATGAGCCGAGCACTTTAAGGCCTGTGGGTGTGTGAAGTTCTGGACAGCCAAAGGCCCAGAGGTCCACAATTAGGAAGTGTCTCACTGTGACACACACACCATATGGTGGGACTGTACACTAAACAAGCCACGGAGCTTGCCCGTGCATGCAAAACTAGCGAGGAATCCAACGAAATTGCAGGGTTTCGTTGATTCTAAGAGTTAAAAAGGCAACGGATGCAGCGTTCTCAATGGCCCCTTATTCAGCTCTGCCAACTAAAAAAAAAAAAAAAAAAACATCCATGTTGTGAAATTAGAAGATAAATCCCTTGATTCCTACTACATTGTGGTTTTGGCAGCTTGTGAGTGAAGAACAGCTCAGACTTCAAGGACAAAGATTCTATGTTCATAAAAATGTATCCAGTTTATAACAACAGCTCTTTTAGTGTTTCACGCAGAATTCCAGTTCCTATCCAGAAAATGACTATAGTTGAAACCATAACCACTGGATTAAAAGACACATGCATGTTTTTATTCACACCATCTGAAGTTAAATTTGACAAAACCTTTATGCTTCAGGTCAGTTAGAATTATCAAAATTATTTATATTTTCTAAATCACACAATAATGACAGAAAGAATATGTTTATTTGATAAAGTCTTCAAGATCAGAAGTAAAGATTTTCTCAGTATTTTTTCAGCATTGCCTTTTGTATAACTAGAGTCAAACATTTTGGTTTTCCTTCCACAAGCTGGAGTTCTGATTCATTTCTCCTGACAGTCAGGTTTGTCGGTCACCTCGCTTGCAAATGACCTTTCAGACATATGTGTAAAGTCCTGACATCAAGTCCTGATGTCCAGGACTTGACATCAGGACTTTGTCACTGGTCAAAGCAGGTCCAAAAATGAAAACCTTTGTCCCAAAGTACTTTTGCAATCTGACTTTTTAATGTTTCTTGTGAAGTAATAAATTCTTATTTATAGTATTTTGGCATTTTTTTGAGTTTGTAATCATGTCAAACATAAAAGCAGTGTGTTTGCAGTGTTGCTTTAAAATACATCCACAGATGCTCCTCCAACAACTCACATGTGGTAGTTACCTATCAGAAGTTGCCAAAGCCATGACATCATCATCTGGGCTTTCTCTCATTGTTTAGAAACAATAATCATTCTGTATGTAAACTTCAGATTTTGAAGACATTAATATTTAAATGTGGATTTAGCAAAAAGAAATATTTTTGCTAATTCCAACTCACTTAAACTGAGAGAAGTCTGGTCTGATTTAACTTCAGACAGCGAGAAAGAAGGTGGATGTGTTTTTACTTGATGTATGTAAACTTCTGGATTGAGGACATTATCACTCTTTTATTAGTCATAACCTAATAAAAGTGGCATTCTAACCTCCTAATACAATGCCACTTCAAAGAATCAAGTAAACAACATATTTATGTTTCTAGAAAGATCTGGAGGGGACGTGGTGCTTTTCATGTCTTAATAACAAACACCTGATGCCTAATTGACAGGGCATGTCCTTTCATTTTATTCTAATTGTTTTAAAAAAAACTAGTTCTTGAGGCAAAATCTTAGGGCTGGGATTTAAAATAAAACACAGGTGCAATAATAAAAAAAAAAAAAAAAAAAAAAAAAACAGTCTCCCTCTAGTTAAAAAAATGCAACAATCTGTCCCTTAAAAAATCTGCCTTTTTTACAACAGAGATCAAAGGTGTAAAATGAGCAAACCTTTGACACAAACGCACCACACTTCACTAAAAACGTCACTAAAAAAAAGCACGCACACATATGTTGCTGGCTCCAGGCCAAACAAATGCACCACATATTTATTATTTACGGGCAGCTCTCTACTTCCAAAGGACAGCTGTGGACCTGAAACAGCTGATAAACAGTCGGTCGGCAAAGCTTTTTCATCTGGGCCAGACGCTGATTACAGATGGCACAAAACATGGAACTTAATCACAAGCATGCCATCAGTTGATGCAATCGCTCATCTTCAATCCATTGCAAGCACATGATTGTGACACATTTGCTCATCAAGTTTGTCCAGATATGGTTAATTGTCTTTTTTTTTGTGGAAGCGTAATCCTTTGAGACTCATATTTGAGAAAATATTTAGGACACAAAACTTTCTATGAATCACATATAGAGGGATATTTATGTTTACCTGGTGTAAAGTCAACAGACTTTACATCTTCCACAGACTAAAACTATTAATAACATGTCAGTTCTTTAAAGATTACAACAAATTTCTCAGATAACTGTCAAAGATTCTCAGTCGTTTTTGGTCAAAAGGTCATATGATATTTGAGGATCTAGATTAATTTTAATGGACTGAGAGCATTCATCTGTTAGACTTAAATCCAACTGAGAATCTATGGCAAGGCTTTAAATATAACTTTTACAGACACTCTACATCCAACCTGACTGAGTTTGAGCCATTTTGCAAAGAATAAGAAGCAACATTTTTTTCTAGGCATGAAAGATGGTATGGATCCAAACTCAGGCTTAGTATTGTTTAAGGAGGACTGAATTCACAGGAATGCATGTGTCCTCTATTTACTAACCAGGTAACTTCTGAAATAAATCCTGGATTTTATTTAGAGGTATCAGAGTAAATGAAGGGGGCTGCAGGCGTTTTATTTCTTGAACAACTTCACAAGTAAGAACTGCTGTGTCACATACATTGCCAACAAATGACAATAAAGATTTCAAGGGGCGTGCATACGCTTGCAAGGCACCGTGTTAGTAAATGTCTGGGTTCACCATTCAGACCTAGGAGAAACACATCCTTAAAGAAATAAATAATGCACCTGCTACAAGTGCATGTCAATCATTCGCTGAAACAATGACTCACTCCCTTCTGGGATACGGCTAAGTGAAGTGATTAACAGTTTTATGAGCGTGACGTGTGCTTCAAGGCATCAACTTCTCCAAACCCACAAAACACCAGCTGGGAGATTAGCGTGCCTCAAATCAGCACAAGTCGAGTTAGCTGGTTCTCATGCCGAGCCGGTTACACAGAAAAGGTGCCGCTATGTGCTGAGCTGCGAGAGGTGAGAACTGCGGTGCTGGCAGCAGATCTGACAAGCAAATCTAATGACCAGTCACCTGCGCTTAGAAAGGAGGTGCGGGGGGGACAGACACCCACGCCTGCTTCCTCACTCCTCAGGGGCATCTGGAAGCGCAAGCTGCACCAGACATCAAACACTGGTAATGAGAGCAATTGGGAGAAGGTGTGTCCAGGAAGTGAGGGGTGTGAAGAGGTTGTGGAGCGAGAACACTTGTGAAATAGTCGAGAGGGGATAGGAGCTCTAAAAGCACAAAGGGCCAGAAAAAGTAAGCGCTGGGAAAGTTTGAGCAAGCTGGGTCACAAATCGGCTAAACACCATGAGCAAGGCAAAGATCAAGGTGTGCAGACTTGGCTGGACTCACCCTAAAACTGCGCTCAGGAGCTTAGCAACAGTGTGGATAAGCATTTATCATGGCACAAAGCCTTCTGCCACAAACACATCACAGCCTTCTCATGTGCTACAAATGTGCATGTGAGTAAAGGATGCTGCATATTTCATCACAGACACAGCTATGTGTTATGATGTGTTATGTGCTGGCATCGCCATGCCAACACATAAAGCCTTATCTAAACAGTTTCTGTCCAAGACCTTCTTTTCCTCCACAGAAACATGATTTGTGAAATGTTTAAACAAGCAGGAAAAGCTTCCTAATTTGTTTTCTCTGCTGTGCACGTGATCTGCTGAGGGGTGAAGAGCATCAAAGGTAGCTGCAACCCAACACAGCGGGGTCAAGCCAAGAGGTCGCAGGTTTAAATCCTGCCCCGGGAAACTTGTGTAGAGGTCATGTGTGTTTGCTCAAACAGAGACAGAGTTCAAGCTCTTTGTTTTAGGAGGAGGCATTCTATCCAAGAAATTAACTATCAGGTTGGACTAATTGCAATGCGCATTTATCACATTCCTCTGCTTTCAAATGGAATGTTTTGCCAAGTTTTTTATTCTCTCCCTCCACATTTTTTAAATTGTGAATGTGAGTCATTTTCAACCAGATGCAAACATAAAAAAACAAGAAGGTATTTTATTTATGTATTTTAACCACAAATGATTTTGTGGTCCTAAAGTGCATTTAAAGTGCACAAAATGAAAGCTGCAAAGGTACAACACTGGCAACTTCAAACCAAGCAAAAGGAGCAACATGATACACAAGAGAATTTCTTTTCTGACATTTTAGATGAGGCTCATTTATTTATTCAACAATTAGTAGAACAACGGATTAGAATACCATCAAAGCTCTGTATTGTTCTGTAAAGATGAACCAAGAAATCAGCTGGAGATAGAAATGGACAAAAAACTAAAAAACAAACATCTTTGATCTGCTAACGAACACACCATACATAGGTACTGATGGGTTTTCCTAATCACAACACACTTTGGCATGGAAGTTGGCAGAGACAATACAACTTATTTTTACGTGTTTCGATAAAAGCTAGAAAAAGAACAAATGGAAGAGAAACCTTTTTATGGAGTAATGTCAGCTCCTCATTCAGGCTGCAACTTAAGCTAAACAGGTAGCAGGTGCAGTGACGGCTGAAAGTATAACCTCCAAATCACAGCTCTATCTCTTTTTTTATTATCTGCTAGATTAGGAAAAGTTGGTAGTCTTTAGAAAATCTCGCAACTAGTCTGGTTATACCAGACTCTGCAGGAAATACAGAGATTGCTCTTGGTAATGCTACCCTTGCTAATTATGCTAGGCTATAAGTTGCAATGTTATAGACAGTTTTAAATGTCTCTTGTGTAATTATATATTTTTTTTGTTTTGAGTAAAGGTTAAATCCTACTTCAATTGTTTCATTTCCCAAATCTAGATTAAATTAGAATAATATTCCAAAATTCTCAGAGCAGAGTGGCAGGTCTGTTGACAGATGTTAATGTCTCAATTACAGAAATTTGCAAATCCCTAATAAGTATCATCTTATTTGTTCTTCTTCCAAGCAGAGCTAATCTTTTCTGTGTCTCTAAAATCAAATGATATTGCAGTTTGATATTACAAGGTGTGTCCAGGACGTGTGACACGACCTGGACACACCAAACTGCAATCAAACTGCAATAGCGTTTGCAGTTTGGGTGTGGGGTGGTAGCGTGGGCAACAGCCGCGGAAATCGAACCCGCAACGAACCCGACGATATTTGCCGCATGTCTTCCCCCCTCTCCTGTGAGCCTACTTTCATATAAGGGACACTAGAGCCCACAAAACCCCTGGAGGGGAAAAAAACCATAAAAAAGTAATACTTTTTTTTTTTTAATTAAATAAATAAGATTTTTTAAAAATCAAACGCTATTTTGATTACATGTAACAAAATTTGGGAAATATAATTACTGTAATAACTTAACATCCAAAACTCAACAAAAGAGACGATTGATACCTTAATCTGGGGTTTCGCTGCTGGTCCAGAGGATTTTTCTGCAGGTCCATTTTGTTTCACAGGTGTCTTGTTGGGCTTTTTAGGAATCAACTCTGGGCTCTAGAAAAACAAACGGCTCAAGTAACATATCTTGAGGACACTGAACCACTGAGTACGTGAATGTACATATATGGCTATGTATAAAAACACAAATATGAATCTCTCTGCATTGATTCCAAAGAATCTTATAATAAACAGGTAAAACAATTTAAAAAGAGTCAAACATAAAGGTTTGATGCATCTAAAAATCTTCTCAGTCGTGTCCTTTAATCAGACTAAAACCCCAGCATCTTTTGTCATTCCTTACTTGAAAGATTATAGTAATGTCAGCTCAACAGATTCAAACATTCCACAAACTAAGCTTTCAGACAGTTCAGTTAGTAAGTACAGAAAACCTGCAGAAGCAGATTAAAACAGAACAGAAAACGCTAAACATGCTTGGCATTTTCTCTGTGATCAGCTACTTAGTAACCCAATAACCCATCATTGTTCTCTGCTATACAGCCCTTCCAGTCAGGTTTACACTGCTGTGTAATTACCTTGTAATAGCTGAGGCAAGTACCTACATTTCCTAAGCACCGGCCGCTGTCTGGCAATTACATGTATTCACCTCAGAGCAGCCTAGGAGTGTAATTCCCTGCAGTGACTGAACTGCTACAAGGCAATTACATAAATAATTTAAAGGCAACACCTCACGCTCGGAGTAGCAGAAGGTACAACTTGTTTGTCTTATGTTTTTACGTCTATGTACAAATATTTACTGTAAATGTGAGGCTGAATCTTGTACAGTAGCTGATAGATTATCTGCACACACCAAGCAGCACAAAGAGCCACTAAAAGATTATGGTCTCTAGGGAAGAGCTGAGTTTAGGCTGCAAACAGCACCTTGAAAAGGTATTCATACGCCTTGGATTGTTAGACATTTTGTCAAATTACAACCAGAAATCTCAAGTTTTATTGGTATTTAATGTGAACCAGACAGAGTAGCACATAATTTGCAAATGGAGGAAAAAGAAAATCTATCAAGGAAGCAGGGAAGAGTCCCAGGTATTTTCTGGGCTGCTGCAGCAACATTTAAACAATTAATAATTAATTGAGTACTCCACAAACCTTTCCTTTTGGAAAAGTAACAACAGAAAATCCAAATTCAAGAAACCACGTAGAAGAAATATGAGCATAAGACTTGCAACGAACACGGAAGTTCACCATCCAGCAAAACAAGAACCCTTGTTTTGTTGCTATGGAGTGGTGTAGATCAAAGCGAATTTACGTGCTAGAATGGCCCAGTCAAAGTCCAGACCTAAATCTAAATCTAGCTACTAATCTAAGGGAACACTTGAAAACTAAGATACACAGATGGTCTTTATTCTGTCCGATGAAGCTTAAACTACTTTGAGAAGAATAATAGGAGAGAGAAGGAGGGATCTGTTTATGTGGGTGTAAAGTTGGCTATAAGTAGAAACATAACCAAAGAGCAACAGCAAAAAGCTCCAAACAAAGTGTTCACTCTGCATTGCCAAATCATTTCAAATTAGCTAAAAACCATAGCATCTTTTTCCTTGGAAACAAAGGGAATCTTTAGAAACTTAGAATTTTCTGTAAATTGATTATTTGTCATCAATACAACTTCAGGCTGTTTGATGAACATGTATAAGACTATAAGTCGCTCTGGAGTGTAAGTCACATAGGTCAATAAATTGCGACTTATATTATGGAAAATATGGTAATAAGTATCTGAAGTACCAATGCGTATTTACCTCTTATTTTTACTTTTTGTTAAATACAAAACAGCAGCCCTGGTTATTTCCAAGGATGGAATAAACACCCAAAATGTCAAATTATCCTGAAGTCAGCTATGTGTCTACTTAAGTAACATTGACTCTACAGCTGAGCTAAAATCATCCGTCACCACACAAAGCGCTTTTATACCTTCCTTTGATAATAAGCAAATTGAACCAAACCTCATTTCATCAATTCACACTAAACCAAAACATTTGATCAAAGATTATTTGGATTAAAGTCATCTGAGCAGGATGCAATTTCTTTTGAACAATGTTATTTGGTGTAATTTCTGAAACCCCATTTTGGATGTCTTGTACAGTACTGAAGTTTGACAACAAAAAGAAAACATTTATTCTGAAACAGCTGAATTTCCAGTCAAAAGAATAATTGCTCCCAGTCATGCTTCTTGGGGCTTTGTACTTTGTACTCATTAATAAAGAAAGGCATGGCAGAGCTATAGAGCTAAGGATTAGAGTCATGCTGGGAAGAGAGGGGGCGAGTGGAGGGATGCATGAGGACTTGGATGAGAAGACAACAGAATAAATCAACAGGTGACAGAAATGCTCAGCTGTCATCTGACCCGGAGGGAAGGATCGGCGCTCATGTCGCAGGTATGTGCATCTGCCCTGCTTTGATCTTTTGCCTGGCACAGTTTGCACTTGGATAGCGTGCTTTGAAAAAAAAAATTACAAACAGACACCGACGTAAAAAATGAGGCAGATACACACACAAGCACACATACACTTGCAAGCGATTGTGGTAACACGCAAAACAAGCGTTCAAAGGCAAAAGCCAGGTGCAAAGCTGAAATGGCATGAGAAACGATAAAAAGGAGCAATCATATTAACAGTGGGATGACAGAGGGACAAAGATATGCAGTGCTCAGAGAAAAAGGTCAAGGATGTTTCCCATAACTGAGCAGTGTGTGTGTAAAAGCAAACAGTTTGTGCTTTTCAGCTTATGCAAACTACAAGTGTATTCTTGAAATGCATTCATGCGTCTGTGCATAAACACACTTTTAAATGTGCGGCTCTATAGTTTGGACCTTGAAGAAAGACTGAGTGTGTGTATGTGTATGTCTTTGTGTGTGCAGCACAGTGTTGTTGGTGAGAATCCGTGCAGATTACAGAGGAGAAATCTGATCATTACACCACACAAACCCTGTATTTTACTCTCTGAAAACAGGTGGGTACGTGAGCGCACAGGATGAAAAAGTTCCACGTTTTGTCTCATGCAAAGAGCTGGACGGTCAGTGGGTGCAGGAGGGGGTGGAGCTTGCTGAAATGAAATGCTGTTGCGTATAGTTTCTAGAAGTTTGAATGATGTGGAAGAAAAGGGAGGGGAGTGACAGCAGCTTCAGAAAAAAAAACTTTAATAAAGTAACCTCGATAAGCGGTTGGTTATTCTGACACCTAGTGGACAACACCGGTATTAGAAATGCTACTACAAAAATACAGACTGAAGAATTGATGTTCCATGAGTGTCCAGACCGCATGGCAGCATTCCCACCATATTGTGAATGGCAGATGCAAACAATTGCCAAAAGCTCCATCAGGGATTCTTGTTTTAAGGTCAAGTTGTGAGGCTCTTCTGTTTTAAATTAGTTAGTAAATAAATTAAACAATAAAAGAAGGACCTTGTCAAATTTGTCCATCTAGTCTACAGGTCTTAATGTAGTTTCATATAGGACTTTTAGCATATCAGATCTAGAACCTTCATATGAATAATAATAATGCTAAGATACTAAACTACACACAGCTTGAGAAAAATAGTTTACACATTAACCCAATAAATAAGCATATCAGTGATTAGATGCTATGTTCTCATTCCTCTTTCACCCCTTATTTCTTAAAGGCAGGGTCAAATCTGTAATATTTCTCCTTCATCTCTATTATAAAAACAATATCTTATTTAAAGAATAATAACAACAATAAAAATATTTTTCTTATTAGAGTCAACAACTAAAAAGTGAATTAAAAAGGATTTCACATTCATCTCTTAGGGATTCATGTCTTACAAAACAAAACACATAATAATAATTTTCACTTAATCCTAAACTGAATTAAGATGTTTGACTTTTTTTTTTTTTTTCAGGCAAATTATGTAAGAGACAAGCCAAGGGTTAAATGGGATTTGGTTGTTGCATCTTATTTTGATTTGCAGATATAGTTCACTAATAATAATTGTATTTAAAAATGTCTCATGAAAATTAGCTGAATTTCATTCATGGCGCTTGTTCTATTTGGACAACAGAGCTCTAAATTATCGTTTCTATGGAGCAGCAGAATCTGTGCTTCTGTAAAGGTGATGATTTAAAAAGCATCACATGCAGACTAACAAATGAGTTACAACTCAAAATAAGATCAGAGAAAGTATATAGAGAGCAAAACATAAATGGATATTATTTGTTTGACATGAATAAATCTGACTGACTAGAATACAAAAGGTTTTTCCAGGTAGTGGAGCTAATATGGTGTCTACAAATGTATTAGACAGAAATAAAGCCTGTGTTAAGCTCAGAGTTGAGAGTATTTTAAAGGCTTGAGAAAAAATATTTGTTTTCTGAAATCTGTATTCAGAAGATTGACTTATTTCATGTACTATGGATAGAAACTTAACTTTGTAAGTACTTTAGTGCAGTTTTGTAGTGACATTCTTATTCAACTGCAATTTGTTTTATCCAACATCAATGAGCATAAATAACATTAGAAAGTCTGATTTCTTTTAATATAACAAGCCCATAAAAATCCTGTTTCACAACAAAGTGACAAGTCTTTCTATCCTAAGAATACTGTACCAACTGTAAAGCAAAGTGTTGGTAGCATCATGCTGTGGTCCTGTTTTAGATGTTAGTGATACTGGTAAATTGTGCAATTGCAAATTCTATAAATTCATTTTAAATGAACAGAGAACAAAATAAAAGTTCTTCTAGGAGGACAATGACCCAAATTAAACACATAAACAACCAACTAATAAATTAATTTAACTTGTTGTTTCTTTTATAGCTAAACATTTTCACATTAAAACCACTTTGAATTGCCTTGTTGCTGAAAATGTGCTATATTGATAAAATTATCTTCCCTTTCCTTACATTTCACAATAACATTATGCCTTTATTTATTTCATACTCTACTACATTTCTTGTTGAATTATTAAGCTGAAGTTGCGTCCCTGTGAATAAACAGAAAATGGGCCAGACTTACTTTTTGAAGTGCTTTTGCCACATTCTTTTGTGGCTTCACATCCTCTTCATCACTCTCATCATCACTAGAAAAATGCAAAGCGTCTAAAATTACCTGAAAACTTAATCTGGCAAGCAGAAAAAAATGAAACGACAAATACGTAAAATTAGACTGAAGAAAAATCCTACTCATCTTCATCTTCATCACTGTCCTCTTCATCGTCATCATCATCATCCTCGTCATCAGAATCTATTTTAAATTTTTTCTGCAACAAATGAAATATTCTTTAGCTTTTGCTGAAAATATTTGATGCGAATAATAAATCTACTTTGAATTGATCTGATCCAGTTTTAGATCACATTTCTCATCTCGTGCCAACTTTCAGTTTTTCATTTGAAAGCTTTATAGAAATCAAAATACTTTTAATGCTTTGTGGTGGATTAACAGCAAAAAAAAATAAACATGATCACCTGCGGAGTCTTCTTCAGTAAGGGCTGGTTTGCAGGCCGTTTCACTGGAGATGTGTTGTTCTCCTCCTCCTCATCCTCTGAGCCTTTTACACCTATGAAACAAATACTCTGCAGTTGGGTTGGTGCAACACAGTTAACAAAACTCTACTTACACAATCTCATTTTCATGACTAACTTAAGTCCCAAAATTCAGAAAATATTTCTCTATTCCTACTTTAGAATATGGATTTTTTTTTTTTTTTTTTTTTTTACAAAGAGTGATTTCTGTAACTAACTGATGTGATGGCTGATATATTACGTGGACTTGAAACTGATTTATGATTCTATAGAACATAAAGTTCTGTGATTCAACTACTAGTCTTACTTTGAAGGATTTTCTGGGACATTATCAGAGTTTGTGTGATAATACTTACTGACAAAATGTTGTCCACTAATGTGAACTGGACCAGAACCAGAGACAAGACGAAAGGTAACAGGGGGAGTGATCTCAAACCCTCCTAAATTCATCTGGACAAACAAAAGTCACCATTAGCAGTATTTACATGTTCTAACACTGACTTAATTTTACTTATGTTATTTTGGTTTAAAAAAAATTAACCAAAACAGAATAAAACAGTTATATTTCAGCTCTTTGACTATTCCTTCAGTCAAAATTGTTGAGTACTCACAGACGGCAGGACAGATGGTTTCAGGACAGCTATCGGTACTTTAGAGGTTTTTGCATCATATGCGATCCCTTCGACTTCCACCACGTGGAATTTGTCCTCCGCTTCAGCCCCCAGACACACCTGGAACAGCAGCAACGTGGTCAGTGGATTTATTATCTTCTTTGAAGATAAAGGTCCAAAAATCTAGTTTTCTGTTTAGGTTGATGTTTCCTCTTCTAAGTGGTCTAAAGGTTTTCTAAGTAAGCGATGTTTTTATGAGTCATTAAATATTTGATTTCCTCCTAACTTTGTACCTTGGCTTATTTACCCAGTAATACAGTTTGTACTTTTCATTGTGGTTTCTTTTCAATACAAAATTGCAGAATGTCAATTAAAAATCCTAAAGACACAAATTATTTTAGGTTTAATGGATTTGTTGTTAAGCAGATGATTAAAGAAAATGAGATCTGGATCTCAATCAGCTGGTTAAATAAAGGCAATTAAAAGAAATGCAGCTGGTAACCAATTTTTTAGGTCTACTATGCTCAACAGATGCTCTCTAAAAATAAAATAACTAAAAGTAACCTTAACCCTTAGCTCCCTTTACAGATTTTTGACAGGAATGAGTTTTTGAGGCTGGCTTGGGATCTCCATAATGTTGATATGTCTACTTTGAGTTAGTGTCTTTCTGGGACACCCATTTACAACTGATCCTCAGTGTCTTTCATCTGAAGGAATAAAACGATTTTAAGATGTATGACGCCATCTATTGAACCTTCAGTGAAGTAAATTTAGTAGGAAAAACAGCCCCAAAGCAAAATGTTTCCATGTCCATTTTTGACAATGTTGATGATGCAAAAGTGTTCAGTTTTGGTCGAATTTGACCTCAACATCTTCTCTAAACCATTTATAAGCTCTCTAGCAAACTTAAAGGCATCACTCTAAACCTCTTTGAATATTTTGTTTATATTTCATGAGTAAAAATACAATTTTTACACTAGCTAAAACAGTTGTTTCACTGGTCTTTTAAAAATCTGTGACAAGGAAACAGAAGTAGCTGAAATCTCGCTGCAGATCGCCACCAGGGGGCAGCATAACGAGAGGAGGAAAGCACCTCTGTTCATGTGGCATTTTAGAGGCTTTTTACTAAAAGGTATCCCATGAGGAGGAGTACAGCAAAACTCCTGGAGGATGTTTTTCAGGGAGAAAACGAGATCACTTAGAAACATGAGACAGTGTAGGAGTTATGAAACCTGAATGTTTGATGTGACTGAGCAGATAAATGAGCAACGATCCAGATTGCTATGTGTCGTCATCTGTAGTAATTGTGGTTATTATTCAAGATGACATGAGCATTTTGAGTTTTTTTCTGAAAACCTAAATTTCTGTTTTATTTTCGTATCTTGAAAGTTCAAATCACATATTTTAACACAGTTTGTTTCATTAGAAAAGCAGTAATATTTACAGCATGCTCCAAAACTTTCAGATTAACAGAAAAAATCTTTTTTTTAAAACATCACAATCTGTCCAATCATTACACTGCTCCAGGAACACAGATTTGTCATCCAGTCACATCATTTTCAGCAATAACTCTTCAAATGTTTCATAGGGATGGACATAAATTATGCTAAAATATCAGTTCTTAAATGCAATGCAATTATCTTATTTTTATTATATTTGTAATAAACATAATAAAAATTAAATAGACGTGTTACCATCAGTAGTTCTATCAATGCTGTTTTTCCCACAGTCCCACCAAAAATGCTCTTTATTTGCTATTTTGGGTCACAATTTTGAGAAGCTATATTTTTTCTGTGAACCAAACATAACAAAAAGTATAGTTAGTATCAACTTCATAAATTTATGTTAGCAACTTAGGCTGGGATTAATGTTTAACTTTTGGTCCAACAAAACCATGTTTGATTAACCAGAAAGTCTGCACACAAAAAATATTTAGAAGTCAAATATTCTGTTAACATCTTTGGATTTATGTTTACAAAAAATATAATGATTTGATACATTCAGATTCCATAAAAGATGGGGCATAATTTATGGCTGAAAACAAAGGTAATTTATCAGAGATCTGTTGAGTGTTTGAAAGAAATATTTATATTTTTGAGGCATTGTTACATTTTTTTCCCCCATAATTTCCCATAGGCAATTTAAGGGAAACCAACTGTCCCCTGAATTTTAGCTTTTAAACGCTGTTGATGTCTAATTTGTAATCTACATTCAACGTTTATTTGTATCAATCAAAATCAAACAGGCGGTTCAATTAATCCATAAAATGAAAGTCCTGTAGTAGACTCTTTCAGTACTAGTCAATATAAATATGTCAATATATTTATTCATAATCTCGTTGTATTTCACAGTTTAAGCAAATATATTCTTCATGAGGCTATCTCAAATATCAGGGATTATAAAACAATAACAAAATGTCTTACTGCTTTGAGTGACAGCTGTTGTTCTGTATCTTCGTCATCCAGGTCAACTTTAAACTCCCGTTTATCCGACCTCAGAGTGCAACCTGAGGGGGTAAATACATATTATTGTCATTAAATTACAGTTGCATTTAATACGCACGCACAATACAAAAAGCTGCATCAGCTGTGGGGGTGTTTCTATTCTACAAGCCCTGCAGAGCTAGCTAACAAAGAGCTGATTGGCGGGAGAAGGGGCAACAGAATAGCAACTTATCACGGTAACTTTACGCTTGAATGAGCGTTTAAGTCATTCAAGCGTAAGAGATAATGTTACACTAATCCTGACTATCAATTTAATATTTATCAGAAGGAACAAGCTCACCAAACAAATACATTTGAGGTCTGCTAAAATCTGACATGTCGTCCTCCATCTTTGTAGTGGGTGGAGAGAATGAGATCCAGAGTAACGTACACCTCAGCGAGCCAATAGGAAAGCAAAACGTCGGCTGCGTACTGAAAAAACGGAGCCAATCGAACTGGCGGGATAGGCGGGAGAAAGGTGGTGTTACAAGGTGAACAGTAGATGGCGCTGCCGTTCTACTAGAGAGATGATAAGATGCAAATACCATCTTCTACCATTCAAAACACCTCCTGTTTAATCATACTGGAAGGCAACCAAGTGAACATCAACTTTCAAGTCAAATTTTAACTCCCTGTTTTTGCCACATCCATGTTTTATTGTGTATATGGCGTTGTCGGGCTGATCTGCAGTGTTTTTTTTTTCTCCACCACATTTTTATTTGTTAGCGAAAAAGTTACATTTTGGTCTCATCTGACCACAGCACCTTCTCCCAATATCTCCTAAATATTATTATTATTTGGGATAAGAGTATGAACATTTTGAGAATTAGGTATAATGTTTCTTCTACTTCAAATTTATTCTCCACGTAATGTTTCTTACATAAAAATTCAGAAAATTCATTGCCGTAAATACATCTGTAAGAACAAAAAGAAAAAAAAGGTCAAGCCCACACATTTAATGAAGCAGGATTGCAACAAGAACCAGTTTATGCACTGCAGGCTTGAAGCACTTTGTTACCAGCCTGTCATCAAGACAGTAGTGGAATCTAAGACGGATGCCAAACATAACACCTACATGGGGATTCCCAAAGAGCAATAAGTAACAACACGTTGCATGTCGTTGTCTGGTGTACAATGAGGGAACTATAAAAAATAAAGTTAGTGGATGGAGAAACGGAGAAGTGAGAAGCTTAAAACAGCCGATGCACCTGGCACTTCACTTAAAACACTCTTCTGTTAACACTTCCCCTGTGTGCCAAGTCTTATGCTAATAGCTTTTTTGGGAATCATCTTAATGGTGCAAAAATATTATTTCATGTGAAAAGATGCTATTTGAAACGAGTCATTGGATGAGTTAGGTGTTGATGCACCAATTTTAACTCACATCAATCAATATGTCTTTTAGATAGTTCGCATCTTACTTTTATTGCTTTTTTTTGTTAAAATTTTTATTTCTTCACTGAAAGATTTACCATTGTGTCACTATTAGGTTTAAATTTGGATTAGTGGGTAGAGTCATCATGTGATCCAAACATGCCTACTTAATCCCAAGCTGCCTGCTTACCTGTGTATCGCTGTAAGAATGTGAATGTGATTGAGTGAATGTGCCTCTAAATTCAGCACTTTGAACAGAAGAAGAACTCTATAAATGTTGTCAACTTGCTTTGTTTTGCATACAGATCAACCTCTGCTGTTTTATATGGGTATATAGAAATACAGTAATAGTTTAGTGAAGTCTGGTTTGATTCAATGAGTTTTGTTTGTGTTACGTAGGAAATAAAAAAGAAATAATTAAAAAAATGGGTGTAGCAAATGTTTTTGTATGTGTGCAGCACACAATAGTGAAAAGCTTCAAACATCACAGTGCTTATTATTAAAATACTACAATTAAGTATAACTTTTACTTTTTTATTGTTTTCCAAAGCATTTTTTAGTCTTTGTAAAACTTCCACAAGCCTGATTTACTGTTACACTTCGAGGCGTTGCAATGAGTTTGACACATCCCCTGTCTTTTTATCACTTTATTAATGCACAGACGTGTAATAAATCTACTCTCTTCCCTTTATATTCCTGGTTCAAAAACCTAAAGAGAATGTGTAGTACCACAGAGCAAACAGCTCAAACTTTGTGATTGTAAAATATTATTTTTAAGTTCCTCTTTGATAACTAATGCACTCGTAGCTGAACTCTATTGAGCAATCAAAGCAGCAGCTGCTGATGAATAAAGGAGTCCACATCCTGTTTGCACAGAGGCTTGAAAAAACATTATCGTACTGTCAGGACATGTTCAGAGATTAAACAGAAGGAGCATGATGTTGACAAAAATATTGATTATATTTGCGCTGCATTTTCAAACTACTCATCTAAATTAGTGTTGTTTCTTATATTTACATATTTAACAAACCATAACAGTAAAAGTCAATATTGTACTTTGCAGTATTAATAATATGATGATTTGCTTTGTTCCTGTTGAAATGTGGATGGTAGGGTTTAATCCAGTACTGAAGTCTGTATTTGTATTTCTGTTTGTGTATGCAAATGTGTGCATATAGAACTGAAATGTGTAACAGTGTTTTGTGCTAGCAGGTTATCTTATCGTTGAGCTGTCAGCTTATTGAAAGAGCTCATCATTCTTCACCTAAAACAGCTGGCGGTTAGTCAGAGACTGCAGTTTCCTGCTGCTGCTGCTGCTAACCGTTGATGACTCTAAAATGTAAATTTAGAAATATCTTGTCTGTGCAGTTAAACAACAAAATTATGTAAATTTCTTTTAGTCTTTTTTATATTATTTAAAATTAGTTTATTAAACACATTTAAACAAGTTGTTTTTTTGCTTATATATATGTTGGATAATATTGCATTTACCAATAATTTAGATGACAAATACATTTTCTATAGGCTATTTCTTTCTCATTTCTTCATTTTTGATTTATTTATTTATTGATTCATTATCCATCTTTTTTGTGTTTTCAGTACATTTTTTGCCCGTCTTGTTACATCTGTTTATGTGAACAGCACAGTATAAAAAAAAAACTTTAGCTAATATTAACCATTTTTAAAGACTTTTTAATGCTGAATACTAGAAAATTATATTTGTTTGACACAACTTTTTGGAATTAAACTTTATAACTTTATGACATACTTGTGCTGAAATTTAAAGCTGTATGCACTTACCTTATAAAGCAATAAATTACAAAAACTTTTCATAATATTTCACAATATATTCTCCTGATTACCGTGTCATTATTTTTACTCCTTGATGAAGAACTTATGTTAAAAAATTTGCATTGTGCATCTCCCACTATACTATAATGTATTTCTGAAACACATTTTGCTTTATTATTGTTGATAGGATAGAGATAGGAGAAGATTCTGAAATGATGCTATGTTTATATGTTGATGTTAGTTACTGTATCAGTTTAACTGTGAGCATACCTATACAAATATATATAGATATATGTAGAGAATAAGAAGTCAGTTTATCTGTTTGGACCAGTGACAACTGCAAGCATTTTCTACTCCCAAATTATAAACAACACATTTAACTGTTCAAAAACCAAATCAAACAAAAGACACTTCTCCAGAAATTTCATTAGAAAAAGAATCTATTTGTTTTGCTTTCCACTTTTCACCAGAGCTTAAAAGTGTTTCATTTTGTTCATGTTTGTTCTGTCATTAAATTTGCCTTTGAAGAATCCATTATGCTGTTACTGATCAAATATGAGAATACAGGATTCTTTCATGCATACATAAGTACTACAACATACACAGTGCACATGTTCGTCTTCAACATAATTCCTTTAAAATATCCGTTGTTTTGTTTTTAATTTTTCAAGTGACTCCAGTTAACAGATTGTGGCAGGATTTCATCGTCAAGGATCATGAAGGCTTTTGTCAACAAAGCTTTGCATGTCAGCACATTAGAAGTGAACTAATACACCTTGGCACTTTCTCATAGTGTTTGCTTTTTTCTGAAATCAAGCAGCTGTGAAAGCATAAAACTGGTTATATTCACAATGGAGTGATATTATTACAACTGGTAGTTAGAAAGTTAAAGTCACCTAATTATTCCTTATGGTATCAATCAGTTTTCATAAAATGGTAAATGGATTTTAATGCTAATGCAAAACAATTTCATCTCATAGGAACAAAACTGAATAGTTCTGCAAATCAATTTAGTTTTAAATTAAAACTCAGATTTTAAGCATTTCAGTGATACAGCAGAAGAAATTGCAACAGCTGCCTTAAATGTTTACTCTATTGCTCAAGAAAGGAAACAATGGATGAGTATAGACAGAGCGTGACACATAGCTCTGTGCAGTGAATAGCTTTTAGGTGCCTCTGTTCAAAACAAAGTGCTTGATAGGAAGCCTGATAGAGTGTGAGCCTTGTGTGCTTGCTCTTCTCGTGTGGTGACATTTTATTGGATAAAGACACAGTGTTTGGTGGCAGAAGAAAGACAGTGAGAAAGCAACAACAACAAAAAAAAGAAAAACATAACAAAATATTTAAAAGCACCTGTAGGAAAACACAAAGCACAGGTATAAAAACAGCAAGAGCAGGAATTTTTCTGAAATGGGCCAAGTCACGTCTTCAAGGTCTCTGGGGGTGAGAGATGAAAGCAGGATGGAGAGGAGGAAATGGGGGTTGAGGAGGCGTCACCTGGAGATCTGCCTGCTACTGACAGGATCCTAACCAGGCAAGACATCCTGAAACCTGACTTACTCCGGCACTGTGTCAGGTTGTTGGGGGTGGGTGCACATGCAGACAGCTGTTTCAAACCACATCATCAAACTGCTCAAAGCAAATATGAGGCTTAAACAAAACACACACTCCTTGTGAAATGTGGTATTTGTCATCAGCAGGTACAGCCAAGGCTAACAAGAGGCCGGTGTTGTGCTCACAGTCCAATGAAAATGAGCGATTTCGTGCCATGAAGAAAAGATAAAGTACAGCAGGGAGTGTTTTTGGGACATTTGTGGCAGTGATGGCTCATTTACAAACACGGAACATGAATGATGTGTTCACTATTCTTCTAAACAGGCTGTTATATGTTATGACTGAAATGATAAACACTTCCACGATAAACCGGATGCATTGATAGCGAGATGTTTATGACTGTCTGTGGGGGGTGGCGAGGATTCTTAAAGACAACAATCAGACCAAACAAAAGGGTGGAGGAGCAACGCTCCAAAACAGGAATGATTCTTTTCCCAAAACAAACGCCGCTCAGTTTAAAACATTATTGTCATGCCAGCAGTATATACACACACACAGTTACAGTAAAAAAAAAGTGCACCCTCTTGTAATTTTCCATGTTTATGAGGAATATTAATGATTTGAACTCACCCAGGTTCTAGAA